GTTTTTTAATATGCTTTATCGAATGAAAATACTGACGTTTTTCCAACATTAACAGTTGGTAGCAACTTCCTCAATTCAAATGAAACATCCTGAACATTTTCAATTTTTGAATACCTGGCAAAATTCTAATGTGAGTTTACATAACACATCCTATACCAAAAATGAACCGTTCTCGAGATGTTCATTTGTTTACTCAAGAAAACTAGGTATTCGGCTCTCAGGTGGTTTCCCCATAAAATTCAAAAGTTTGATAGAATACATAAATCAGCTATTATTCATTCATCAAAATACTTCATTTCATCATCTTGTATTAGTAAAATTTCCAAAATGTTATACAGGGTGTTCGAAATCGATGACTAATTCTGAAGATATTAAAATAGGCCAAAAACGTTTTTATCAAGATAGTTCTGAAATTCCGAGATGATTTTGACTCATAAAATAATTTATTGCGTAATAAGTCTACAATCTCTCAATGGGGAATGTTCCTCAGTTTGGGTTATTACAGCAAATGCAAGTTTGAACAAAATAAAGTTGAGTTTAATTCATGAGTTTTTCAAATTAACTTCAAAAAGTTATTCAAACTGATGTTCCAAATGTTAGGTTTTAATTTTTAAAGGGATTTGTTTCTGATTCACATGTTGGCAACAGCGCCTATATCGAGTTGAAATAATTTATACGTACCTAGATATCCTACTTTAAAAAACGGAAAATTATCTTTATAAGTCAACAATTAAGGCAAAATATAAATTATAGTTCAATACTACCTCCACAAGCCACATAAACAACAGTTGTTTTGTTATTTATTTATATAGAGGAAGATAGGTTAGGTGCACAAAATGTCATATGTCACAGAATGTCTCGGAACTCGGAACATAAGTAAACAGAACAGCACGCCTCTGAAATATGTCATCTTTATTTGTCTCATACAGGTAACAGATTCATTGTCCTTTATTAGCTATAACCGATGTTGCCAAATAGTGAAATAGAAACGAATCCCTTTAAATGTTGAATGCATTATTTCATTCCTCCTTTTTGAGTATTCAAATCATTTTTCTAAAGAATAAGGTTGAAATGATAAGTATAAATGCGTTGTTTTAGAGCTCTTTTATGAAAACTACTTGATTTTCGTCAGGAGGAACATTGCCCATTGAGGCGGTGCTCCATCCTGTTTTTACCAAATATTTTTTTGCATCTTCAATTCATAAATTATTCACTGCTATCAGCTGTCAACCTCAAAAGCATTTTACTCAAGACAAATGTGGCTATACAATTTTGGGATACACTGTATTACCTATTTGGGACAGCAATCATACTTCTTCACGTGGACTGAGGATGTAGCCAAAAGAGGCAGCAATGAAATGGGGAATGTTTCTCAATTTGGGTTATTACAGCAAATACAAGTTTGAACAAAATAAAGTCGAGTTCAATTCATGAGTTTTTCAAATTCACTTCGAAAAGTATTCAAATTGATGTTTCAAATGTTGGGTTTTCTCTGACCTGTTACAATAGATATATCCACAAAACACACCGATTCTAAGTATGACTTTACTAAAAGTAGACCTTTGTTCATTTTATATATCCATTTTTTTTTGATATATTGTAAAATAAGCTATGTTATTTCAAAGCAATTTTGTTACACGGTCGATAGCCAGTTGATCAAAATTATAATTTTGTTCAATAAATTACAATTATTATTATTGTACCTCACTGTACGTGAATCTAACCTATGAAAATTAATTCTATGACTGAACAAAAGAAGAATACCAGTTGACGTCTATTTGAATACCTAACCGTAATTGAATTTCCTTAGTTTAGACTGACATTGTCTA